CCCCAAAACCCCAAAACCCCAAAACCCCAAAACCCCATTTTTGGTTAATCTAGTTGAAAAGTCTAGTAAAGACCGTTTAAATTAGGATTTTTAGATATAGCTTTTTCGAATTTTGTTCGATCAACCTGATACAGCTCTATTCTCTTATATTTTTGGCTATTTGATAATTCTACTATTTCAGGCTCTGCTACTTCTTCTTCTTTCTTCTTTTTAGCAGCTTCTTCTTCATCAAACATCTTTTTAATATTTCGTTCAATTTCTGCAGGATCTTCATCTTGCTCACTTAGAGTCCCAATGTTAGTTCGGGAGATGAATTTATGACCATCTATCTCAATTGGACTGACATCTTCAGAGTCTGAAGACTCGGCAGGATCAGCTGTCTCCTCATTACCAAGATTTGGAGGTAACTGTATTACACCAGTACGCCTTTGGCACTGGAAAGACTTCAAAGCTTGGATTGCCTTCTTCAATTTTTTATCTTTATCATACAATTTCTTAGCATCTTCAAGCTTTTGAAGATCTAACTGGGTCTTTAAAGAAGCAAGCTGTGTATGCATGGTAGAGATACTGACATTTTGATACTTTGTTTCTATTTCTTCAAGCCTCTGCTTGTAAGTTTCTTTTGCATCCTTCTCATATCCAACCTTATCCTTCAATTTGACAACTTGGGTCTCAAGGGCTTCTTGAATATCTTTAGCTTTGACTAGGTCAGATTCTGTAGTTTCCAACTTGGATTTGCACTCTTGTAGTTCACAAAAAGATTTCTGTAAGAGAGTTTCAAGCTCTGAGGCTTTTCCGCTATTGTCTATATCTTGGACTTCATTCTTAGTATGATTTCTCTCAAAATCTTTCTTTAAATCCAGTGATGTTTTGCTGGCTGAAGCCAGTGCTTCAGAAAGGAATTCAATTTCTTCGGTAAAAGATTTCTTTATTTTATCAATTTTTGATGCATAATTTCATTTGATTTCTGAAAGTTGTTCATAACAAAATTGTTGAAGGTATAGTAGCATTTTCTTAGTGACTTTTCTGACACTAGTGTGACCTAGCGAAGGGTCAACTTCGTCACTGAAGTTCTTTCATATCTTATCAAATCCATCTTCAATTTCGCTATACTCTATGTGATTGTCAAGGTTAGTAGCTTCTGCATCCTCAAATCTATGAAGTTTGTCTATGAGTTGGCCATTGAGCTCCTTAAGTTGCCTGACCTCTTCCGTGATAATGAGGTTTGACTGCTTTAAAATATTTAGTTCGTTTTTATACATATTTATCGAACAGTCGATATCCGTTAGTTCTCACTCACAGCATTTGTGGATTGAAGAGGATCTGAGTAAAATATCTTGTCATGTTAAAGTCGATAGCTTATTTTTCTTCCTTTTGACAATATTTTTCGTGAAGCTCTCTGGCCCTCCCATGCGGGAATCAAATGAGTTAGTTATTAGTGATAACTGATTTGGCCCTCTAAAGGAACTCATGGTACTTAGGTTCACTCCTTTGTTAGTAGCAGGGTTTGAAGGTCCTACCCCCATTTTCGGGCTAGAGAAGGTAAAGATATCCTTTCCGTTAGTATTCTTCTTGGTAGATGGGAGGTTATATTTCATCTTTACATTTTCGTACTCATGCCATTTTTTATTAATCTCATATTCTGAGATGGTCACTTGATCTTTTATTGTAGACTTTTTGGTAAAGTTCTTACGAGTAGACATCTTCGATGAAGTTCTCTTTGGAGACACTGAAAGAGGTTTTTCATTATTGTGGATTTCTTTTGAATTTTTCTTAAAACTAGGAGAGGTTTTTGCACTTCCAAAGAAGCTCTTAATAACATTCATTGCAGAGTATCTTTTGTCTTTTGAGATAATTGTACGAGCTCGAATTTTACTCTTTCTTGTAATTTGTGTAGCTCCTTTAGTACTGGAAGGAGGCTTAAAGCGAGATAAAGAATTTCTAACCACGCTTTTAGTTTTATCAGAGGTATTATAAAATTTTGATCTTTTTGTAAGCAGTTGAGTGTTATTTATATCATTTTTATGTCTAAATCGGAAAGGACCTTCTTCTTGAGACATTGACACTTGCTGTCGAAGTCTTTTATTCAAATTCTTTACATTCCCAAAAGACTGATTTGTATATTTGTACATTGTTTGTCCAAGTTCAAATTAATGTTATATTTCCATTATGAATAAAAATCTGGGGTTTTGGGGTTTTGGGGTTTTGGGGTTTTGGGG